AAAAGAAATTTACAAAAGTGATTATATGTCTATAGAAAGCACAATAGTGTCTACTTTTAAGGTTTCAAATAAGTTTTTGGAGAATAAAATGTCAAAATTTGGTTGAAATAATGTTACATTGTCATTCAGTGTAACACAATATTTATGTACAAATTCAAGCAACATGCTTATTCTGACGTGTACATATTAAAATATATAAAAGAATAAGGGAGCATATTAAATTTGTGTTTTAAATGAGTAAAAAATTCTTACTGACAAATGGGCAAAACCTAGGATAGTGGCACATTTTAAAAATGTAAAATTACAACTAATTAGTATTTGGGGTGAAAGTAATTAGTCCTTTAATATGTCATAAATTGATTTTTGTTGTAAATATGCCTGACAAGATTGTTACACTGAATGACATTTTAGTGGGTCTCTTCTGTAAATCAGGGAAAAATGTATGATATTTATTTTTTGCTCAGAAAAACAAAAACAAAATTGCAATTACATTTTTTTTTTTTTTTTGGGAAAAACAACAACAATTTAAAGCAGTATTACACTTATTGTTTTAATGCATAAATCCTTTTCGTTTATATATAAATTATTTTAAAATATTAATAATTAAAAATACATTTGATTAATTTATCAATGTATTAATAATTTAAAAATAAAATTGTGCTTAATATTAAAAGTACTTTGTAAAAGTAATATTTTTCTTTTGTGTACTTTTTCAATCATGTCAAGTTTATTTATGTCACATCAAGTATATAGCACTTTATACGATATAGATTATTTTGAAGCAGCCTCACAGTGTTCTTTATATTTCTTTATGATCAGTTACAGTATAAAGTTAATTCATTTGTAAATGCTGCAAAATTCATGCATTTTAAAACTAACTCAGCTGTAAGCAGCTCTACAGAAAACAGTAGTTTCATTATTTAGCTCAGTTTAATTCAGTGTTGGTTTAGTTTAGTTCAATAACAGCGTTGCAAAGTTCATCGGTGATGAAACAGACTTCAGCTATAAAGCAGCTCCACAGAAGACAATAGTGCCATTATCCAGCTCAGTTCAAGATTTGTTTCAATGATAAGAAAGAAATGACTTAATGCACCTTTCAAGCAAAATATGACACAGAAGCGTGTGCATTGGGATGCGGCCTACATGTCTGATTATCACTGAGCAAGTAAAATAAACCGTGAAGCCAGTTACTCCTGCTGAAGTCTGATTGGTCAAGGTAGTCGACCTGCTCCAATCACGTCACTCGAAGCACATGAGCAAAGTTCAGATTGACACGGAATGAAGTAAATCACATTTCATTTGAATTTCCGCTGAAAATGACCGTTGCTGCTTCGAAGGTATGCACCGCTTTAGTGCAGCAAATTCAGTGGATGAGATGAAATTCAAATGTTCAATTCCCAAATAACAGGGTCACTAAAAAATGAAAAGCACTTTCACTGAAATGGCAGAGATATTATGTCACGGCACGCAGTTATTCTCTTTGCACCCAGCTGAGCTTATTTCACTTATTATTCTCCCCCTGATGTGATTTTCAGCTTTTTTCTTTTCATTATTCAAAGTATTGAACACCTAAGAACGGTGATGCAGAGAAAGATCGAAACACGCACCGAAGCTCAAACAGCAGTCGATTCAATCAGTAACGCTGCAGCTGTGTGTTTGTGTGTTCAGCTTTACGTATGGACAAAAGTGTTTGATGTGAGAACGAGTGCTGATGGGACAGAGTCTGCATGCACACTCTTCTCCGCAGGAGATAAGCGTCTGTGTTTGTCTGCAGTGCGTGTTCCTGATGCCGCTGTGTGTGCGGTGGGCACCGCTGTGTTTCACTCCCACAGTCCTCTGAGCAGCCCCACAGCGAAACACTCCTCTGTGCCCAACACACCCGCCGGGAGCGTCGAGGTAAACACACACAGAACTATAGAGCCGAAAAGAGCTTTTTAAATTAACTGTAGATTGTGTCTTGTATTTTTTTTTTTACCAGGAGAAATTCTAAGAATTAAATCAAATTATACAGGTTTTATTGTAATGTTATAAGAAGCCTGTTTGTGTATTGTTTGTTTCTTTTGGTGTAAAATTCATTTAATCAATCACTCCATTTATATACATAAAGTTATTGTATTTTTTTTTAAATATACTTTTACCATGAATCTTAGAAATACAGTCATATTCAAAGATTTTATATACTGTAGTTTTTTTTTATTGTTGTAAAAAGTCTATTTGTAGCGTTTGGTATAAAATGCAATAAATGAATAATCATACATACTTAAAAAAAAAAAACTTTATTTGTATTTTCACAAATTAAAATGCAATAAATGCATAATTATAAATACATTAATAAATTATATTATACATAAAAAATATATGATAAAATTTTAAAATATCTTTATTTATATTTTCATTCAGACAAATTCTAGGAAGTTAATCAAATTGAAATGCAATAAATAATTTTTTTTTTTTTTAATATATATGTACATACTAGTGCTGTCAAACGACTAATCGCGATTATTCGCATCCAAAATAAAAGTTTTTGTTTACATAATATATGAGTGTGTACTGTATATATTTTTTATGTATATATAAATGCACACACATACAGTATATATATTGAAAATATTTACATGTATATACATTTATATATTTATATTTAATATATTATATTTAGATTTTATATTTTGCATAAATATATTTAATATATAAACATAACATATTTTTCTTAAATATATACATGTATGTGTTTGTATTTATATATACATAATAAGTATACACAGTACACACACACACATACAATGTAAACCAAAACTTTTATTTTGGATGCGATTAATCACGATAAATCGTTTGACAGCACTAGTTTGTACACAATTATAATTTATACTAGGCTTGCCCAAACTTTTTCCTAAGAAAGGCTGAAAAAAATCAAACTTGATTGAGGGTTGTGGGGCTAATGTAAGTCCTGCATAATATACAATTGCGTATCACACAGTACACACACATATATTATGTAAACAACTACTTTTATTTTGGATGCGATTAATCGTTTGACAGCACTAGTGCATACATATTTATTTATTTATTTTAAAAATTAACTTCGTTCGTATTTTCACTCAGAATAATTCTAGGAATTGAATCAAATTTAAAGATCTTAAATACTTTTTAGTGTAATGTTGTATGACAATAGAAAATAGGTGTAAAAAAGGTGTAAAATACAATAAAAAAATAATTATAAATCTTTTTTTTTTTATGAACTTTATAATTTTGTATTTTCACCAGGACAAATTTTGTTCATTAGAATTCATTAGAATTCATCATTATATCATTAGAAAGAAATGTTGTATGAAGCCATTTGTGCAATTTTTTTGTTGTGTTCTGTTATCTTTTGATGTAAAAATACAATTAAAATACAAACATAATTCTGTTGACTTATCAGTGTAGTGCGCATTATAACTGCAGTTAGTTTCGGCTCTTTTTGCACTTTTAAATGAAACTATTTTTGGTATAGGATGTATAAAATAATTATGAATATGTGATTTTGTTTTCTTTCGCTTCTAAACAGAAATGTACACCAGCTTGGACAGACATTGTGGTGATCAATGTATGATCTGTGCTGAGCTTTGGTTTGGTGATGTTGACATGTTTACCTGTGTGTGTGTGTGTGTGTGTGTGCAGCTGCTGCTGTTCCCTGGACTGATTTTATGTATTTATTTATTTTATTTTTTTTTTTCAGATTAAAATGTTCAGATTCAGATTTGGCTTACTTGTGATGTCATTAATGTCCCCAAACTAAAGTTAGGTTCATCACACTCCTGTACATTGACCTCTGTAGATTCTCTCTCAGTCTCTCTCACCCTTTCAACCCACTCAGACAGACACTAGATGCATATTCATAAACCAAATGAATCTGGAGATGTTCCAGAAGCACGAATCTGGAAAGTGTGTGGCTGAGAAACGTAACTGAGACAGATAGCGTCTGTTGGGTTGACTCTGACTGATAACAGCTCAGAGAGAGTCATCCAGGTCACTTTATACTGCACTGACTGCTTCCTCCTGATCAATACAACATGAGCAGAGACAGAAGAGTGACAAACAGCAATCGATCCGACACAGAGAGATAACGCCACTGGAACTAAAGAAAAGAGCAAGCTTTAGGGGAACAAGGCATATTATTATTCATATTTATCTATCATTTTAATTATTTATTAAGTGGCATGTAAATGTCAGTGTGTATTTATAATGTTACTAATACTTTGCTCAGTTTTAATCCTTCAGATTTTAGACTGCCAACTTTAATTAGCATCAGTTACTTTCTCATTTAGAAACTCCAGGTTACTCTGTCCAATTACCTCAGATGTTGCTTCAACTATCATCTGAGCATTTATCTTTCAAAATATTGTCATTGTTTGCATCATAACTTGCGTCAAGGGAAACATTGTGTTTAAATATTCGTGACTTCTTAATGAAATGGTTTGGTCTTTTCCTCCTCACACACTGCTATCATAGGACTTTCCTTTGAGAAGTCGTGAGTATTAATGCGTCGTCGTGGTAACAGGCTTGTTTGAGGACTTGGCCGTTTGCCGTGCAGGAACAGACTGGCAGCCGGAGCTCAGAGATGAACAAACAAACAAACACACGCATAAGCGGCTCTGCAAGCGATTAGTACACGAAAGGAGATCATAATTTTACTTTTAAATGAAATCAGATGTTCCTCTGCCAGTCAAGCTCATTTCTTTGTGTCGATTGTGTTTGCAAACCAAGCGAACTAATAAACAACCTCCAGACACAGAACGACGTGCTGGAAGTTCAACTCTTGATCTGTTCAATCAGGCCGCTGAGAAAAATAGTCAAGTGAGCAGTGATTATTCAGTGAAGATGTGCTTTTAGGTTTTAATAATTTAACGATGACGAGACATGAACTATATTTTTATATTTATATAGATTTAAAGTTTGTTTGCTGACTTATAGCCAAAAAACTTTGACAAACAAAAAGAGTACTACTAAATCTTTAAGAGGATTTAGATCTAAAATCTTTGAAGGTTTAAATACAGCATTAATATATCCATTTTAATATATGCTGCAATTTATATTAATATATTTTATAAAATATAACAATATATTGAATAAAATACGAAAGATTTTAGAGATGTATATTTAGTGCAAAACACAATTTGTGGATGTTATAAAGTGAATATATATAAATATGAATATATATATATTATATAAATATTTTCATTACATCAACGGTTTTAATTATATGTATATATATATATATTTATATATATATATACATGTATTAGGGGTGTCAC